GGTGCTGCCCAGGACCCTTCTCCATTTGTCACCCTGTTAGGTGCCACATGCAGTGCCCTGTGGCCCTGCCTGTAGCTGGGCTCGAGGCTGCCTCCAGCCCTGCGGTGGTTGCAGCAGGGTGAGCTCCTGTACCTGTGCAGGGTTCGCCGCTCAGGCTTCGGGGGGCCTGACCCTTTGGAAGAGGGTCTGGAGGGCAGAGTGGTTGCCTGCAGACAGCTGCACTGCCAACTGCCAGTAGAGAGGACAGGCCTCCGGGAGACAAGGACTGCAGGGACTGCATTCCACCACCAGCCACAGGAACGGGGGAGTGCAACCTGCATGCCCGCTGAGAACAGAGCGCAGTCAGCCAGGATTGCCACCTAGTGAGAAACCAGCACTGGGTGCCAGACTGCTGGCTGACGTGCCGTGGTGGCACTGGAAGCCTCCAGATAGCAGCAGTGGTGGGCTGGTTCCGGGGTGCTTTTAGACGGAGACATTACTGCCAGAGCTGGACAAGAGCCACCTTCCGAGTAGCACTGGGACAGTCTGCCAGTGTCGAATGGGCTTCCAGGTGCATACACGTACTGTAGACGTGTGACGCCTGGTGCACTGTGTGTCCTCCCAGGACCTAGGGCCCACGTATGAGCCACTGCTCTGACTGAGTGCCCCCGGCACATGGAGTGCCTGTGTGACCTGCATTTGCACTGAGTGCTTCCGGGGGTGCCCAGCCAGGCCTCTGGGCATGTAGAACACACGTGTGACAGTGCTGACCGCATGGTCCGTGACACAGCGTGCTCTGGGGAGCATAGGGCATGTGTGTGACACCCTGTACTGACTGGATGTTCTTCAGGTACAGAGAACTCACGTGACACCAGAGACATGGGTGGGGGAGGGTGGAGCACCTTCCATGTGCCAGGGCCGTTTGGATATTGATACCGTTCACAGGCCGTGCTGGTCAAATGTTTTGTGAACTCACCCCTAAGGTGGGGCTGGAGCTGCTCCTCGCGGGCGAGCGGGTGATGTGAGCTGGCAGACCTTAGAAGTAGCCTGCAGACCTGAGGTCCCCACCCCGCTGCGTCTACCCGAGCGTCGACACAGGTGACTGAGCACCTTCTGGGTGGCATTCTGTGTGGCAGGTACATCGAGTACACGTGTGACATGGTGGCGGAGGAGCCCATCACGCCGCACAGCAAGCCCATCCTGCTGAGGGCCATCGCCATGACCCCCGTGCCCCTGTTCAGCAAGCAGAGGAGCGGCTGCCGGCCCTTCTGTGAGGTCTACGTGGGAGACGAGCGCGTGGCCAGCACATCCCAGGAGTACGACAGGATGAAGTGAGCATTCCTTCCAAGTCCTGATTCTTCGAGAAAAGGCTCAAAGAGAGAATGGAGCCGGGGGCTGGGAAAGTGCGTCGGAACGAGGGTGCCTTTGACCTTGGCTTTGAGCCCCGTCAGCAGGCCTTTAGAGGCCTCCAGCCGCCACCCATTGGCTTATGGACTTGTGTGCTGGGGGTGTGGCTCCTCAGATGGCCCTTGAGGGCCAACCCGCGCGCAGAGGTGGTTTGTTTCCATGGACACCACAGGCTGCGAGTGCACGTGCCTGTGTACCTGTGCCAGCATTTTTGACCTCAGAAGGCCCCGGCTTTCTTGCTGGGCGCTGTGAGCCTTGGCGGGCACGCTCATCCCTGTGAGCCTGGTCTGACTTGGGACAACCATCTCCTCATTCCATTCAGGGAATTTAAGATTGAGGACGGCAGGGCCGTCATTCCCCTGGGCATCGCAGTGCAGGGAGACGTGCTCATCGTCATCTACCATGCGCGGTCCACCCTCGGAGGGAGGCTGCAGGCCAAGGTGAGTCTTCACGGCCGCTCCCTTCCTGGCACACCGCTCGTCCAGCTTCAGCCCCGGATGTTTACCTCTGGTTTCTTCATGTTCCCCGTCTCTGAAGAGAAACCCCACGGCAGACGAAACATGCTTCCTCTCCGTTCAGGATGCTGGGTGTCCCCACTCAGCGCACTGGCCGTAGGGGAAGGCTTTCTTCTGACGGGCCTGGGGGAAGGTCTCTGTCACCCGGCATGAACTCATAAACCCTGGGTCTAGGGCTTTCTCAGCCCAGGGACTCTGGGTCCAAGTGATGCTCTCCATGCCTGGGGCTTCTTTCTTGGTAGTCTGGCTGCTCTGATCCCTGCTCGCCCATTTAACCGCTTAGATCCCAACAGAGGTGGCCTCAGGTTCCAGGCTGATGCTCTGTGGGGCATCCTGCCTCACGAACGTGCTGCTGCTAGTCTTGCTTCCTTAGTGTCGGAGAGCTGAGACTGGACTAGGCAACTCATCACCTCACAGGATCACGGCCCAGCCAGGGGGACACGTATTCTGGGAGGCCACAGTCCAGCCCCGTTATTGGACTTCAGTGGCCCTTCTGGCAGATTTCAAAGTTGAGCTGTTACCTGGCAAGTGCTTCTGCACATTAATTAGTCACCCGGGGTCCCCGATGTTCTCCACAAGGCCCGAGGCCGAGGGGATGGGACTTCCAGGGTCCCTTCAGCTGCAGAGGACTACTTAGTCTTCTTTGTCCTCCTGGCCGCATAGCCACGGGCCACTGCTTGTTTGGGGTCACTGCCTTTCCAGAGACGTGAGCGTCCTCTCCTGCTGATGCCTCCTTCCTGCTTCTTGCCCCTTCTTCCCCCTGCACCTCTCTCCTCTGCCCCCCACCCCACCCCCCACACAGCATGCTCCCTGAGGGCACCGTGGTCTCCGTGGTCCTGTCTGGGTGTCCTCAGGAGCTTGCTAAACGTGCAGTAGTCTCCATGAGCCCAGCGCCCAAGACCACAGCCTGCGTCCCTTCTCAGCAAGGTGGGGCCCTTTGCTTTCTCCCCGCAGATGGCGTCCATGAAGATGTTCCAGATTCAGTTCCACACTGGGTTTGTGCCCCGCAACGCAACTACTGTGAAATTTGCAAAGTATGTTGGAGTCACGCTGTGTGGGCGGTCGGGCAAGGGGACAGGCGGGAGGTAGAGTGCATCCGGATCCCAGACCACGTGCTGTGTCAGTGGGCCAGTTTGCCACGTTGGACTTGAATTGTGAAGTTTGCTGCCCCCGCCCCCCCCCCTTCAAATCAAGGTCTCCTTCGTCTCCCAGTTCCTGTCCCGCGTTTAATTTCCTCAGCGTGGTGATAGGGGACCGGCCAGTGTGCCTCCTTTCTTAGAATTGGCACTGTCTGCACTGACCATGCCATCACCACACAGCACTTCCTGGCCAGTGTGTTTTGGCCGAGCACCCTGGTGGGCACAGAGACAAAGAGAAAGGGCAGCTCCCTCCTGAGTGGAGGCCCACTAGCTAGTTTTGGAGACAAACAGAGACATCAGTAAAAGCAGATGGCCGATGCCTGGATCTTACATAGCCTGTTTCCACTTAGCGCAGCCCTTCAGGTCCACTGACCGCTCACATAGCCGGTGTTCAGGGTGGAGCAGTGCGCACTGGCCCTGGCAGACTCCCTCGTTTCACGTCTCAGAGGGAGGTGGCAGTCCCTGACCCGGGCAGCTGGGGAGCAGCAGAAGAGGTGGTCCTCGCTGCAAGGTTTGGGCTCTAAGCGTATTGTGTCTGCTCAGTCACCTGTGTGCTTCAGCAGCCAGGCCAGGAAGAAAGGCCCTGTGTGGTTTGCAAGGCGCAGAAGCCCTCCTCGGGGCAGAAGGAGGCTCTGCTCCCAGGAGAGGACTCCAGAGGTGGCTGCGTGTGCCTTGCCTGACCCAGCACACACAAGGCAGCCGTTAGGACCGATCCCTCGGAGCAGGGCCAGCGCGGGAGAAGGATGCAGGGACACAGTGGTGCTGCTCCTCGTAGGGCTGGCACCTGCCCAGATTGGGGTCGCTCCGTGTGTACTTCATAGCCTCATTCTCTGTGTGCTTCAGATGGGGCCCTGGGGGTGCAGTGGTTACACATTAGACAGCGATCCGCTTGGCTGGCAGTTAAAACCTGCAGCAGCCCTGTGGGAGAAAGGTGGCTTTCTGCTCCCGTCAACAGTGACCGTCTTGAGACCCACTCGGGTCGCGGTGATTCCAGCACTGACTCGCGCAGCGATAGGGAGCCTGTTCTTCTACGTCTTTCCCCTTTTCTTGTCTTTGGTCCATCGTTTCCGTTTCTTTTTTCTACCTTTGTAGTTATTAGTAGGCAGCGACTTTTAAGGAATCAGAGGCTTCTATAAGATAGCAAGAACGATAAATTCTAGAATGGAAAAATACTCAGTTTAAATTCAAATTCAACTGATGTATCTAACAGGATAAGTTCAGTAGGGCAGACAGAAAATGACCTAAGAGTTTCGAGCCAGCCAGAAACTTAAGGAACCCAATGATGAGCACTGAGAGGTGCAATTGGGCAGCAATACTAACGCCCTATGGATTGGAAATAAAATCTATGGCAACAATAGCAAGAAGGCAGAAGGTTTGGGGGGTGGGGGGTGGGGCTTGTTAATAGAGTTAACCTGCACTGGCCAGGAAGGAGTGCATGCACTGATTTAAAGGAGACTATAGAGAGTCAGGACTGTGCTATTAGGATTGCTAGGATAACCAATAAATAGCGAACAGAGGAGAAAACTTGGAATAAATAAATACATTTCTTCCAATGTGATTATTTCATAAGAAAGATACGAATAGATAAAGAAATGTAAACGGACTGAATACCCTAAGTAGGCGGCAGAGACTCCTGTACTGATGGGGGGCGGGAAGCAACCCTCCTCTGTATGCGCTTGTTAAGAGCCGCCCGTTTTAAAAAGCTGATGAGTCCCAGAGATGCTGAACGTCCACACACTGGTAACGCTCCATCCGCAGCAGGTAAGACAGTCGTTGAGGACGGAGAGAGACGATGGACACAGCATGGCGCTAGAAGGGCCAGTTCAACAGGAAGAGAGCGCGGTTCTGGTTATGAGCAACGAATCCTCACCAGAACCATCCACACCGACACCGTGTAGGGCTGCCCCGCAGGTTCCTGAGCCTCGTCCGGGTGGGAGCAGATTGCCACCTGATCTCCTCTTGTGGGGCAAGTTTGAACGGTCAGCTTTGTGTTAGCACCTGAAACCAGCATCGACGTAGCACGGGATAATTCACCAAACCCAGCAGTGCACGAGACAAGCCCGTGCACATGGGCCTCTCTTCACAAGTCAACAGCACGTCAGTAGAGAGCTGTAGGAGGAGATTGTATGACTCCTGACCAGCTTGACTTGGATTTTGAGCATTACATTTAGCAACTGCCTTCTATGTCAGTGCCCTTGGCTCGCGCCGATCAAAACCAGCGCCTGAAAAATACCCGTCGGCCCTCTTGGTGTTTCCAGTGAAGCAATGAGCTGGTCGCTCACTGCAGCCCCTTTAAAGCACACTGCTGAACAATAGCACACCTTTGACTGGTGCCAAGTGAAGTAACGGGCCATCTGAAAGCAGGCTGTGGAAAGGTGTCATTGCAAAGCCTTCATCCTAGGTCACCGTGCCCGCAGACAGGAGCGATCGGGATGGCACAGGACCAGGCTCAGACAGGAACGGTTGTGGGGATGGCACAGGACCAGGCTTAGACAGGAACGGTTGTGGGGATGGCACAGGTCCGGGCAGTGTTCCGCCCCGTGGTACGTGGGCTCATTGTGAGTCGGAGCAGACTTGACAACGACAGAGTTGCTTCTTGGGAAGCTAGAAAAAAAACAGCAAAGTCAAGCCCAAGCAAGGAATGATCAAAGGTCAGAGCAGAATCCAGTGAACCAGGAAGCGGAAGTCTAACAGGGCAAGTCAACAGCCCTAGAAAAGGGTGGCCCTTGGACAGAATGAATAAACAGGGCATCTCTTCTGCAGGTGGGAGGGCGCTCAGGAGACATGGTGACCAGCACCTGTAGAATGTTAGGCCTCGGAATTGATGTCACATGTGTCAGTGTGTTAAAACTGACACATCAGGGAGTGATACAACCAAGGGTAATAGCCCCCCCCCC